TCCACAACAGTTTGACCCTGACACCCCGGTCAACAAGGCACGCATATTTGTGTCTGGCTTCAGAGACAAGATCGTGACAACCTGAGTCGAGGGTACCAAGGGCAAGTAGTGAGGATAGAGAATCAGTGATGATGAGACTGTCAGTAACAGTGGTTTCAATGAATTTAATAGCTGTGAGTATGGCAACTAATTCAGTTTGTAGAGTGGATGCCCAGTTGTTAATTCTAACTCCTTTCTCAATTATATTACTGTCAGGTTGAGTCACAACAATAGCACTTCCAGCCCTCCCACAGGCGGTGTTTAGAGATCCATCAGTGTAGATGGTCTGTGTGATATTATCATCAGTCTGTAGAGTGTGTATGTGTTCAAGAGCTCTCAATTTGGCAGTGTGTTGGAGATAAATGCTTTGTATAATTAATTTTTAGGCGGATACGTCGGTATTGTGATATCGAAGGGAACTGTCCGCCAGGGTGGCAGGAAGCGCTGTTGTGTCTCAACTTTGTACAGGTGGTCTAGTCCAAACATCTTCACATGTGTAGCTGTAGTTTGGATCCATTTAGACTCAGTAGTCCCATGGTTCATAAATTCTAGCAATTTTAAGGAAACAATGTTATCAGGATCACCACGCAGAAGCCTCAGGGCTATCATGAGGTTGACTTCAATTATTCTATCTTTAACACTGGGTATACCTAGTTCTTTCCTCATATTAAGTACTTTAGTGCTCATGGGACATCCTAGGATAATTCTGGGTGCTTTATTTTGCATTTTCTCGAGCTTGTCAACGCCTTTCCTGTCACGAATGACCAGGGCTGGTGCGTGGTAATCTATCAGAGATCTTATATAGCCTAGGCACATTGTTTTAACAATTCTAATATTAGCACCATAGTGCGGGCTGTACCCCGCTACACTTCTAAGAGGTCTCAGTCTGTCAGTACATTGGCGGGTTAGCTGCTGTATGGCAGGTAGGGAACAAGGGACGGAGGCACCAAGATATTTTAAAGAAGAAACATAGTCAATAGTGTTGTTACCTATCTTGAACTTGGCGGGGCCGCGTTTGCGGTTCCCAGCTTGTTTGTTGAACACCTTAGTTTTCTCAGTGGAGATAATAAGACCGAGGTGTTCACAGGCTGCGTATACATGGTTCAGGGTGGTTTGCATTTCACGATGAGTTTTAGTATGTATAAGAATATCATCAGCATAGCTGATTGAGATATTGCTGGGGTTGTCTGGTATTAAATTTAATAATGCATTCATAAGAACATTGAACAAAGTGGGGCTAAGTACTCCACCTTGAGGGGTACCAAGTTGCATATCTTTAACTTCACTTTTGTAACCCTGAAACAGTGCAGCAGCCCTTCTGTTGGTTAGGTAACCACTTATCCAGTGTAACAGCCTACCTCCTATATCCATTTTGGCTAGTTCGTACAATATCAGTTGCTTATTGGCAATATCAAATGCAGCTTTTAGGTCAAGAAATGTGGTGTATCTGTGCCTTTCATCACCATGCACAGTTAGGAATGTGGTGATGCAATTATGTACACCTTTACCATGGGTGAAGCCATTTATGTTAGGAGACATGTGTTCTCTGATTCTATATAAGAGTCTGCCAAGAACCATCCTCAAAGGT